GCCTGATAGTAGTGGAACAATAAACCCAATAAACATTAATCTCTTTAGGATATCCTTTAACTCATAACTCTACAATGTTAAGAACTGGACTTCAAAGTCTATTATATTGTTCCACCCGCTATCAGGCCACCATCAGATCACCCATCGTCTAGTCCCACACACGAGATGTATTATCTCGACATCGGAGGGTGTGTTGAAAGTCCTACATCGACTATAGATAAGGTCAATTCAAAATATATAAGTGGGTGCAAACATGTTTATTTGGTCTATTGTTCCACATGTTATCGGACCACCCATTGTCTAGTCCATCGCACGAGATGTATATACCTCAACGTGAGGAGGGTGTTGGAAGTCCTACATCGACTAAAGATAAGACCAATTCATAATATATAAGTGGATGCAAACTTCACCTTACAAACTGGTTTTGTAAGATTGAGTTGGGCTTAAAATTCACTTCTTAACATAGTATCAAAGTCTATCTCCTAGCAAAATTTTTGTCATATCTATTGTTCTACCCACTATCGGATTATCCATTGTCTAGTCTGACACAAAATATGTATATATTTCAGCGTAAGAGAGGTATGTTGGAAGTCCTACATGAAATAAAGATAAGACTAATTCATATATATATATATATATATATATATATATATATATATATATATATATAGGGGTTTGCTAATCTATGTAAGCTCTTTTTTCAATTGGTACATTTTAACAAAATGTACCAAGTTTTAGTAGACAAAAAAAATTCTCATTCATAAAAAAAGACATACTTTAAACATAGAGATATTTTAATAATTTTTATTTTTAATTTAAAATTAAAAAAATAAAAAAAATCAGAAACACTCACCTTCCTCACTTATCCAATTTCTTTCTCTCTTATCTTCGTCCTTTCTCTCACCCACACATACAACAATCTACGACATTGTACTTTGTTGTTTTTCCTCATGTTTATTTGTTAGTCACTTTAATAACAAAATATCACTACATAGTTATGGCCACAAACAAGATACATCATCACACATACATTACATTACAAAAGGGCAAAAGCTTCGACCATGATGTCTAACCAATCCAGGTTGCACTTTTTTTAATATCAATTGCCCATTCATTCCAAAAACAAGACTAGAAAGTAAAGTTGAATCCGCTGCCAATTAAGAATGGAAATTTGGATTTTCCAGTTTTTAAATCCATATAAACAAAATGGAAATTTGAGCTGGAAAATGGATTAAAACACATATCAAAATGAAAAACAAATTTTAAGAAATGAGACTACTATATAATGGTAGAAAGAAGGTTGGAATGAAAGAGAAAAGATTGGAAGGAATAAGAGATGAGAGAGAGGTAAATCAGAGCTTGGAGACTTCTTGTTTTTTTTAGTTTTAAAAATAAAATTTATTCAAATATTTTTGACCTTAAAACTTAAAATTTATAATATATAAAATTATTTTTATTAACTAAAATTTGATACACTATGCTAAAGTATACAACTAACACTAGTAAAAAATTGGGTTTTTACAGCGCACATTATGCACGGTTCACTGGAAAACGCAGCATAATGGTGCGCGGTGGCAGTTTTGTAAATAAACCGTGGCATAACTCCAGTCAACCATCCTTTGACGCCACGTCTGAATAAAAAATTAAATAACAGAGTATATTCGCGGGGTCTGGACAACGCGGCATATACCCTGCCAATTTATTGCAGGGGCTGACTGAGTCAGAGAATTTCAGAAGTTACAAGGGTATATGCCGCGGTTGCTTGAGGAACCGCGGATATACGCAGTAACTTCTGAACTTCTCCGTCAGTCAGAGAATTTCAGAAGTTACAGGCGTATATGTCGCGGTTTCTAGAGCAACCGCGGCATATACCCCCTGTCATCTACTGATATTCCCCAAAAGGCAATTGGATAGACAGTTGTGTTCAGCACGTTACAGGGGTAGGCCGCGGTTCTCAGAGTAACCGCGACCATTCTCCTACCTGAAAATAAATTTAAAATGAATTTGAAAATATTAGAGGAATATACCGCGGTTGCCGCGTGAACCACTGCATATAGTTTAAAAATAATTTCAAAAATGCCATTTAGGTTAATTTTTTAATCAGTATAGGCCGCGGTACGTTGTGAAACCGAACCGCGGCATATGAGCATCTTATACCGCGGTTAAGTAGTGAACCGCGGTAGATTCCCCAGTCAGAGTTAAAAAATAAAACTTTGGACCGTGTCGTCTTCTTGCTCGCGCAGGCGTAGTCTGGGTTTTTTCTTCTCCCTCCCGCGACCACCCATCTCAGGCCGTCGTTTTTGCACCGTTTAAACTCAAAATTGTTCGGTCAATTTCTCGTTTTTGACGTAAGAAAGAGTTTTAGCCGATATCAAATCGTTTGTGAAACGCCTGTTCATTTCTCCGCTGCCATTTCCCTTTGTTGCACCAAGCTTTTTCGCCGCCCCTATTCCAGGTATTATGCCCTTTTGCATTCTTAACATGATTTCTTATTAGTTTTTGCATAATAACAAATTGCTATAGTTTTGGTAATGTATGAATACTATAGTTTTGGTAATGTGGTATAGTTTTTGCTAAAATTTTGGTAATGCATGAAATTGTATAGTTGTATAATGTATGGTATAGTTTTTGCTATGTTTTGGTAAGTGTTGTTGTAGTTCTTGCATTATTTATAAACCTTAAAATATTATTCACTAAGTTTCAATGATATGTATGAAATTGCAAGTTGATTTAGTTAGCTTATCTTTATTGTAATATTTAGGATATGGATCGAAATTGGATTAATTTACCACGTATTAGTGCTGAGTACGAGAAGGTGTAGAGGAATTTATACAATTTGCGCAACGTAATGAGGGGAGAATGATGATGAAGTGAAGTTTAGATGTCCTTGTGTGAACTGTTTGAATGGGAGAAAGTTGAACGCAACTCAAAATAGAGAACATCTTATATGTGATGGTTTCCTAAGATGCTATACAACATGGATATGGCACGGCGAAGAAATGCATTTTCCCACTGACTCTCAAAATGTAAATGTTACTGATTCCACCATGGAAGAAGATCGACCGGATGAAGACAAATTGGAGGACATGATCCGCGATGTTGGAGCAGAAAATTTTGCCAAAGCTCATGTGTATGAGACGATGTCGACTGATGGGAAATACCTTTGGGTCGGTTCAACTAAGTTCACACGTTTGTCAGCGTGGGGTGTTAAGCTCATGAATTTGAAGGACGAGCAATGGATGGACTGATAAGAGTTTTACAGAATGTTGACGTTGTTGAATGAAATGTGCAGAGTGGAAAATACACTGCCCACTATTTAATTAGGTGCGAAGAAAATTCTTTGTCCAATGGGTTTGGAGTAAAAGGATACATGCTTGTCCCAATGACTGCATTTGTATAGGAAAGAGTTTGAATTTTGACAAAGTGTCCAAAATGTGGCTTATCACGCTACAAGTCAAAAAACAATAGTGAAATATGGTCAATAATGAGATAGAAATAGAAAAAAATGGATCTGCTTTGAAAGTAGTTTGGTACCTTCCAATAGTGCCCAGACTTAAGCGTTTGTTGCGACTCCAAAGATGTTAAAAAACCTTAGATGGCAGGCAGATGAGAGAAAATTGGTGGCTGCTCGTCATCCGCTGATTCAAAGCAATGGAAAATATTGATCGGACAATTCCCCAAATTGGTTAAAGATTTGTGAAATACTTTGTTATAATGTTTTATTTTTAATGTTATTCACTACTATTATCAACTGTATGATATATTGTAGTAGTGTAACAGACAAAATGGGTCATATGAGTGCGGATACTATGTAATGTATTGGATGGCCCATATTGTTCGTTCTCACATCACAAGTCGCTGGGAAACGGTAATATTTAACTTTAACAAATTTTGATTTTTTCCCAAATGTTGAATTCATATACACTAATTAATATGAATTGTCTTTTGCAGAGATTCAAGACTACTACACCAGTTCCTGAGAAGTCACTATTATTCATTAGGAACGCTGCTGCGAAGTATATAATTAGATTATACAATAGCTCTTAGATTTAAACATTGCATTTGATTAGATTGAATTTTCTTAGACTTTGTACTTTATTTGATGTTGAAATACATTTGAACATGTGTTTGTTATGTTCAAATTGAATTTGTGTACATGTTTTTATATGCAGGTCTGTTTTTGTGGTAGTGGATATCACAAAAACAGACCTGCAATTTTAAAAAACTGCAGGGGATTATGCCGCGGTTGTAACCACAACCGCGGCATAAAAAATTGGATTTAGGCAGCGGTTCCTTGGACAACCACGACATATTCCGCAACCTATATACCGCGGTCATAACCGCGACCTAAAGTCTCTATCTTACTACCGCGGCTGAATATGCCGCGGTTCGTAAACCGCGACGTATAGTGAAAAATAACCGCGGTAAAATCCCCTCGCTGCACTAGTGTAAAAACATATTCTATATATAATAACAAACTCCATATATATATATATATATATATATATATATATATAATAAAGTTTTTATATTCAACCAATAATGTCATTAAATAGAATTGAATACATTTATTTCTTAATTGTACATTTTTAATGAATTAAGTAAACAATTATTATATAAATTAATGTTATAAAAGTCTCATTATATTTTAGTAATCCATCTCTCTCATATTTTTTAAATTGAATGCAAGTTTAGAAAACTTAAAGTACATTTAAAGTGTGAACGGTTTTTATATAGTAAAAATTTATGCGTGGAGATTTAAACTAAACCTACGCATAATGAGCTCTAATAATAGTATTATTAATTTCGCTAGTCAATTTTTTCAATTTCCGACAAAAGAAAAAAAATATATTAATTTACTATTTATTATTTATTGAGTAAAACAAACAAAACAGTTTTAATGATAAAAACACTTATAGAAAATTTAAAAGATGGCTTACAAAGAGAAAAGAAAGAAATTTGTGAAAAGTTGTTTTTGTAAGAAAAAGAAAGAAAAAAACCAACACTCTTGTTTGTTTCGTCAATTCTGAGGTAAAAGAAAGTAAGAGAAAGAGACAGAGAGATTCACACACCTGCTTTCAATTTCGGCTGAAAGAGTGAGAGAAAGTTGCAATGGCGAAAAAGGCAGTATTGATCGGAATCAACTACCCGGGCACCAAGGCGGAGCTGAAAGGTTGCATAAACGACGTGTGGCGGATGCAGCAGTGCCTCGTCGAGCGTTACGGCTTCTCCGAAGACAACATCACCGTGTTGATCGACACGGACAAATCGTACACGGAGCCGACGGGGAAGAACATCCGGTCGGCGTTGACCTCGCTGGTCCGATCGGCGGAGCCCGGAGACGTGCTCTTTGTGCACTACAGCGGACACGGAACGCGTCTTCCTGCGGAAACGGGAGAGGATGATGACACTGGATTTGATGAATGCATTGTTCCTTCTGATATGAACCTCATCACTGGTTGGTCAACTTTTTGCATGTTTTAACGTTTTGCTTTTCAAACGTTTTCTAAAGTATTTTTTTCCGTGCAAAAGTAAATAAATCTCTATGTATAATCTATTAAATTTTGAAAGTTATTTTCGAAACCAAAAATAGTTAACTCTGCCGCAAGATAATTTTTCATTTTCTTATCTGCTTTCATTTTGTTTGATCTCTCTAACTTGGCCTTTGGTAGTAAATAAGAGGGGAAAAAATGAGTGAAACTGTTCTACTATTTTTTACTTTATTTTCTTTATTCATCTTCTTATTTTTCCTTTGTTTTCAATCAAACATTTTTAATTTGTTATTTTTCACAGATTTTCATATTTTTTTTTTGTTTTCATCATTTCTATTTTCCTAAAAGAGATAGCTTGTGTATTCATAAAGAAACAATCAGTACCCAAAAAGAAAATCTTAATTTATCCTTTAAAGCAACATGTTTTGCAGCTTAGACATTTTTACTGTCTTTTATTTAATTAAATGATCCATTCAAATTTTATTTTTTATATTCCTGTTTTTTTTATACATGATGAAGAGATCAGAAAAGAATAGGCGTGAAATATACTAAACATTTAGGGAACAATTATTGTAGGAACTAGTGCAGAATGATGATGATATTATTACTTTGTAAGGGGCTTGGAGTTTTTCAGAAACGAGTCAAAATTTGGACTATGTTGATCGGTTTCAAGTAAAACTGAATACCATGTGCATTTTAGTGGCAGAAACAAGCATTGAAACCCCGAGTCATGATTTTTCTCAGACCCACTTTTTTCCCGTGCCAAATCTATTATCAATTGTAGAGTAACACTGACAGGTTTTAGAAAATATCGTAGCCTATTTTTTGTTTTTTTGTAAGAATATTGTGCATTGGAACAGTTTTCCGGGAAATAATAAAGTATTTGTGTACATTTAACAGATGATGATTTCAGGGAATTTGTTGAGGGGGTCCCTAGTGATTGTAAGCTCACAATAGTATCAGATTCTTGCCATAGTGGTGGCCTAATTGACGGAGCTAAGGAGCAGATAGGAAATAGTACGAAGAGAGATGAGCAACATTCTGGTTCTGGCTTTGGTTTGTCCAGTTTTCTACGTCGTACTGCGGAGGATGCCATTGAGTCTCGTGGAATTCATATTCCTTCAGCATTGCGCCATCATAGACACAAGTATGATGATGAAACTGATGATAGGGACATTGAACTTCCACATGAGCAGTATGGCCATGTAAAAAATAGGTCATTGCCACTTTCTACTGTCATAGAGATACTGAAGCAGAAAACTGGAAAAAGTGATATCGATGTTGGGAAATTGAGACTTTCACTTTACGATATTTTTGGGGAAGATGCTAGCCCTAAAGTAAAGAAGTTCATGAAGGTTATATTGAACAAACTCCAACACGGGGATGGTGGAAGTGACAAACACGGTGGAATCTTGGGGTTGGTGGGTAGTCTTGCCCAAGAGTTTATCAAGCAAAAGCTGGATGCTAATGATAATGGATATGCAAAACCTGCCATGGAAACACAGGTAGACAGTAAGTATGAAGCGTATGCTGGATCAACAAAGCCTCGTCTTCCAGACGGTGGAATTCTGTTGAGCGGTTGTCAGACTGATCAGACCTCTGCAGATGCAAGTCCAGCCGGTAATGCTGCCAATGCTTACGGAGCTTTCAGCAATGCAATACAGGCTATAATTGAGGAGACACGTGGTGCAGTCACAAATCAAGAACTTGTTTTGAAGGCAAGAGAGAAGCTTAAGAGAGGAGGTTTCACCCAAAGACCAGGACTCTACTGCAGTGATCACCATGTTGATGGTTCTTTCGTGTGCTGATAAATTTTCATCTAGTGCAGAAAAAGGGAATAATTTATGATTGGTATGGCATGCTTGTGTATTACTATGTTTGGGACAATCAATGTTGCTCAAAAGGAATATTTACTTCAATTATGATTTCAGTAATCATTCGTGATATCTGATACAAACTAGTTCAGATTGACTGGACTATATGTGATACAACCTAGCTATCTACTGTTTCGCTTTTTCAGTGAATCATCTTTACAAATATACAAAATCGAATTACATCCCTAAATGGGTGACAAAATAATACTAAAATTGAGACTGCACAATTGTGTTGCGGGCCGAAGAGATTGAGCCTTCCCCTCAAAAAAATTCTGCGTCAATGTAGAGCCTTTTCCAAAAAAATAAAATAAAATTAATTGCTTGTCGACATTCGAAGACACCAAATATGGTAGCGCAAGCAACTGCCAAAAGGTGGTACCGAAATTCAAACTTCGCTAAAAAAAAGTTGAGCAAATCCTACTGTCACATGTCAATCATCAATTTCTTGAACCCATGCTAAATCTGTAAATGTTCAGAAAATATTCGGTTAGATTCTTCATCAAATCGACAAGAGAATGCAAGATCAAAATAGAGAGAAAATTCATCTATTATTCCTCTTTGCTACACTTATTTATACTTCTCGACGATCAGTACCACAGATGATCTTGCAAACCAACTGACATTATGTTGAAATTTTCCTTTTAACCAGCAGTCTTCCATCACAAATAACATCTAAATCAGTCAATTTCACCTAAACTTAGATCCTATGACTAGGTATCGATGTATGACTTTTCACGTTAAATCCAAGATACCTAAATTATATGCCTTGCCATAGAAAATGATCTCTCAATTTCACCAATTCATTTTCAGCACATCTGCTAACTTCTATTCATTGTACTTGATCATGCATAATTGAAAAATAATTGATTCAAAAGATCTCTCGACAAAACTATACCATCTACATGAAATACACGTTGGGATACTAATATTTTCATGTTGTTTAGCAAATAAATCCAAAACCAAGGTAAAACAGGCAAGTGCCCTAGGTTGACCCCTTGATGCAATATTCCCTTTGACATACATGTGCATATCAAGGAGGTTAACTTTTTTTCAAACAACTACATGAATGAGTCCAGGCAAAAAATAAACAGTATCCATCATGAAAAATCTACATTCTTAAACTCAGTCCAAAATTGTACCTAAGTCTAAAAAATCACTTACCCAGCACATTTACAGACAATTATATACATTTTCTATCTCAATGTAGGTACATCATGAGCGCATATTCGGAAATGTGGATGTGTTTTAGAGAGAGAACCTTGAAGCACAGTTTCCACTGCTGCATTAGGAACAAGAAGCCCAACAATACGTTGGGTGTCCACAGTAGTTTCAATGCGTACAACGCGTAACCTCCTATGGCTTAGACGGGCCTGTACAAATTTTGTTCCGCAGTTTAGTTTACTTCAAAGAAATATATTTTAAGCAATTTCTGAAAGTACTATCAATCAAAATATTATATTTAGTCACAAGTAATTGATAATGATCCAACAATTCGACAGTAAAGTCAAACTCAGTGCAAGAAATAAATTCTAACGAACCTCGAAGGTTACACCCGACAGGATATGTGTGAATAATACTATAAGAAATCATATCAACTGATATCATAATCCAACACAATCTGCTAGATATTTTACACTGCAAATCTCATCATTAAAAAATTCAACTCCAATCACCAGTTTAATTAATAGGCCTTTTTCAATAAAATGTTTTTTAGTGTGTGACAACTTCTATGCTGCAGAATTACCTGTTTTGAAAGGGCCTTTTCTACGGCTCCCCACACAGGAAGGATGAGGCCACCCAAGACATTTACTTCCTGTAGTCTTCTACCAACTGTACAAAAGTTGCCAATCTTACAATTGGGACCATGCATACACTGCCAATAAATATAAGAAGTTGCATGAGACAACAGAGTGAACAAGAGTATATAATTATTTTCCCTTCCATCTAAATGTTTTAGCAGGTTAACATGATACGTTTAACCTATTGAATGCAACGCCAGTTCAGAATACATAACAAGTTGATCTAAAGAGTAAAGTTCTTGGAGCATTTGGTTATGAATGTTTACTTTGTCCCCTTATCTTTTTCTTTTATGACTTTACGGCTAAATTGATTAGTACAGAAATAGACAGTTGAAAAGGAATGATAACTTATAAATTTATACCACCATTGTTCGTAACAAATAAATAAAATGTTAAATAAAACAGGCATCTGCTTAAACAGTCACAAGCTGTCCTCGATCAAGCGTCAAGATTTCAATACATCCATTTTTTCCCAACAGGGAAAAGTAATGAAAAGTAACTTAAAGAATTATACCTGTTTGGATGAAACTTCATATTCCTCTTCCCAACCAGACTGAGCCTTCTCTAAAGACGAAATTTTTCTATATTTACTTTTTAATTCAGACAGAGGCATCTCCCTATATATATATTTGAGAGAAATGGGGGTTAAAAATACAATTAAACTGAACAGGTCAACAAGGCCTGACTACTGAGAAACACATACCTGTTTGATTCTCCAACAGGGGGTCGAACTATTTTATACATACCCGAGGCTGAACTGAAAAATGAAAGGAAATACTGAGAAAATCAGATCATTAAGAACAATCACCACAAAAACATTAATACATTTTGATGTCTTGCTTTATGAACATATTTTTTCTATTACTAATTTCCTATTGTCCTTTATTTTTTTAATGAAAAAAGATTTTAAGCCCCAACCAAGCTACTAAAATAAATAGTAAAAGACAACTTTATCAGATACCAACTATTTTCGTATTACCATGAATGATGTTGATTTTTTTTCCAGAGTTTATCTTTCAGCTATAGAAAACCATAATGAGCTCAATACGTTATTTGACCAGTTCTCTGCATTGACTATCCAATGTAGACATTCCGTGTAAAAGTGTTTTTCATTTAAATTTTAAAAAGCAAGGCTTCAATTAAACAAACAGATTGAAACCAATTTCTCCTGCATGATATTTATAGTCATTTAACACTAACATTCCCCGTAAGAACAGTATTGAAGGTGATGTCAATATTTAGGAAATACCAAAAATTGAGACATCTACTCAAGGTTGTTAAACTCTTAGACTTTACGTAAACTCATGGAAGTCATTAAACTCGAATTATAAACTTGTAAGAGTTTACTTTTGATATAAAAATATTAAAATATTTATAAATTATAAATAATATAATAATATAATGTTATATGATACTATAAATAATTTTTAATATTTTTTATCGAAATATTATTAATATTATCAAGGTTGTTAGACTAGAGTGTTTACGTAAACTCGTAAGAACCTACTAAACTTGGATATTAAAATATTTATAAATAATATAATATTTTATTGTTATATGATTTTATAAATAACTTTTTAAATTTTTTTAGTGAAAAGAAGGAATGAAGGGGCTGATTCAAAAAACACTCAAACCCTAATCCCAGTGAGTTTTCTCCACAAATGCCCTCCAAACAAATCCCAATGAGTTTTCTCAACACATACACGATGATAGAGCCTATTTGGGTTTCCATGCGTGTGAACATAAAACAATCTCACAAGTAATATTTTGCAACCTTAACAAATATTGGAACATCGAATTAAATAAAAACTATAATTAAATTTTAAAATCTTAGATAACAAAAACTAAAATATACCTTTCAAATGCTAAAATGAAATGGCGTCTTCCCAACCACTCCCTCTTGGACTCATAGAAGCCATCATTGGTGGAACCAAGCCCATCCCTTTGCTTTTCATTCAGCATTGTAGTTGCCAACTAACACGTAAATATTAAATTACAAGTCAGAAAAAGCATAAAAAACACCATTATTCAGGTCAGGTAGAAGAGAACATGTACCTCCCATGTGATCCCACGATCTAAGATGAATGTAAACAAAACTGTTGAGGCCCCAGTCAATTGATCAACATGAACAGTCTGAATGGAAGTGAAAAAGTTTCCCGTCAATATTAGCTTTATAATAAAGTTAATATAGATAATTGTCAAAAGAAGTCAACTAGAAACTAACCTTTGGAGTCCCTTGCAATTCAATTACATTAGCTTTCAAGTCAACAATGCCGGCATCAAGGTTACCTTCAATGCGAGCATTCCGAACAAGAAGATCCAAGATACTAACAAATAACTCAAATAGCCTGTTACAGTATTATTTATTATATTGAATATAATCCCAAGACTTATAAGCATCAAGCAATTTAATTCACAAAAAACAGACCCATTCTGAATATCAGGAGGTAGTCCCAAAATCCTGTTGAGAAACCGCCCAACTTCATGCATATCTGAATCAATAATGCGACCAGATAATCTTCCAAGATCTTTACCGTTACCTACAAATATAGGAAGCATGTATTTAAATGTGGTAATGTTACGAAATGATTACAGACGAACAAATTTAATTACCAAACCAGGCAAACTAACTTCTAGAATAGAGTAATGAATGAATTACCAAGGACTGTGTCCCTTACTATTCCAACAGACACAAGAGCAGCTTTTGCTTGCACAATAAAATCATGAATTGTATCTGGTTTGTCAGATGAACATCCCGGAGGTACCACAGGCAGAGAATCCTGAAAAAAATTCGACAGTATGTATTTGAACATTCTTTTTCTTTTACACATTTCTATATATTATATATATTCCTTATTTTCCATAAAAATTATGAAACCTGCTCCATTATTCCTTTGTACATAATCATCAGAGCCCTTTTTCCATAGGCACTATCATAATTATAAGCACTTAATGAAGGTCCAGCCCTACAAACAAAAAATGTCAGGAATAACAACCAAAATGTTCATCCATGTCAGCTCATTTTAAAAAGAAAACTGATAAATTGAACATGCCTGCGGTCACCCTGAGTCAAAGCACCAAGAGATTCTAATCTTTTGGCAACAATTGATGCAAATCTTCGTTCTCCACCAAGATTTGTGAAGAGTATCCTGTACAAAATTTATGGTAATCAATGTTGTCAAACTCGAGGATCGTAAGGGAATTAGAAAGGGAATGAAAACTCATAACTCAAAGATAGTAACTCAACTCGTAAGAGTTACAAGTAGATAAAAAATTGTATTCATAAATAGGTGCATCATTAAAAATAATATGAACGATAAAAATAGCACATACAGATTTCATAAAATGGGTTCATAACAATTAAAAATAGGTTCATAAGTCGGCAAAGAGTGTTGTCTGCGATTGTTGACAACAAGATTGGTGGTTGCAGGAAACTCGTATAGCTCGTTTTGTGCAAACTGTTTTTTTTTGGTGAGGTGTGAACTAAAGGTGGACCGGGTCACTTTCTTATAAAACATGGGTTGGGTCATCTTTTTAATAAAACATGCTGCCAAACCCAAATATCACAACAAATGAAGACAAAGATGGCACACCAAGAAGATCGACACAGAGGATGATCCTCCAATCCAGCGAGCTACCTTGAGAGATCGCTCCGATCTGGCCAGCTTCTGATCTGGTCTCCATGTCAGCTCGCTTGGGGTGAAAACTCGTAGGATTATGCAAGTTTGTGAACTTAATTGCGATTTTAACAACATTGATGGTAATAGAGATTAGGTTGAACTAGTGTGGTGTGACATCTGGAGAGAGCATCATCAAAACTTAGGACTGCAACTATTTTAAGATCTGATCAGGTCTAAAGTGTCTCAATCCTAACTTTTTATAAGTTATCAGGTGACATGATAATAGTCAACTAATTCACACCAACAATAAAATTGTTTGCTCAGAAAAAAGGCAGCAAGTTTATGTCCATGAAACACTTCCATTTGAGGAAAGATATTGGCACAATAATGTAGTTTGGCTAGGATATTACACTGATGCTCAGAGAAGTAAATTGCACGTGATAGTTTACACAGTCCTGGTATAAACAAATATGGAAGCCAGATCCTTCCCAAATTAAGCTATAGCATCACTTTTAATAATATATACACGTCTTCCTAACTGCACTTCCTAATCTTTCTTTTCTCTTCTCCAAAAAGAGACTCAAACAAGGTCATTTTCCTCAAGCCACAGTTCTATATTAAATATCTAGCATATCTGAACCCATGGAGTGGAAACAATTAATGAGAGTTTGACTACTGGAGATCATAAATTGTTGAAGAAAGAACAAAATGAACACCTTGTCCAAACAATTGGAAAATACAGAAAGTGAGTTTATTCAAATAACTACGTATGTAACTTACAAAATGTCAATCTCAATTCATCCTATTTCGTCATATTTGGGATGTGATATGGTTCCAAAGGATGAACTGAACAGTTCCAAAATGAAAGCAATCAAACTGCAAAAGATGTTAATCAGTAGTGCTCAATGACCTGTACTCGGGTGCAGAAGCTTGATTTGATCGATGCGTTCTTCCAAACTGTTGAATTGCACGGTCAGCACTCCATGGAAGTTCCAGGGTCAAATGAACTCTTCTTTTCTGTTGGGAAAAGCTTAGAATGAGAGACGAATGACAGCAACTATATTCAAAGTTCAGTATACTATAAATTTCCAAGCATAATTGTTTCTATCAGAGAAGTTTTCACACCTGATTTGCAGCTCGTCTATCGGCCTGCAATGAAACGCCAGCAGATCCTGCCTCAGAGATAATAGCAACTAACTTTTTACCATCCATAAAGAGCTGCTTTTCATGCATGTTAACCATTTCCATGGTCACGTCTTTTCTAAAGAGGTACACACAGAAATTAGTAATCTATAATGTAGTGTTGCATAATGATTAGGTAGGCAAACAACAACTCACGTATTACGAGCCTGATAGGTTACACCCTTGCCTGTAGCAGCCCTCACAAGCATTCCTCTCCTTCCTGTCATTTCTGCAACTTTGTCAGGGCCTCCTAGCTGCATATTAGATGACAACAGTAGTAGCAGGAAAAAGTCAGCAGATTCAAAAGAAAAAAATAACATTAAGGAAAAGGATAGAAAAGATAGCATTCAAACAAGGCCACTCAGGAAAAAACTAGAACCTATGAGTCTTCACACGATTTGTATCACAGAGGAGTTGACTTGTATCATACAATGCGTATCGTAAATCATACAATGCGTATCGTAAATCATACAATACTTACTACAATGATTTAAACAGTTGTGTTCTGTTCACATATTGAAAAGTGTCCTTTCAAAGCAAGAATGTAAGTCGAGTACTGATCACTACCTGATCAACAATATCATCCAAAGGATTATTTGGCAGATCCAAAGACCGAATTATCTCTGATATTTTTGTCTTCCGTTCCAACGCTGCATCATACCTGAAATAATGTAAGAATATGTTCATCAATCAACACTTCCCTGGTTTCTTATATTAATTTTTCTACCACATAATTTTGGTTAACAGAAGATATTGTATCTCAATACAACCAGTTTTTTTACTAATCAGTTATTTAACTTGAAATGATAACTTTTCACCATGAAAACATCACCCAAGAATTCTACCTCTTTTGAAGTTCAGCTATGTAGGCCTGTCTTGCTTGGAGATATTCATCTGTTTTTTCCTTACACAAATGGCATGACCACTCTTCAGGAACTACATCACCAATTGGTGGCATCAAGCATGTGGAATGGACTAATTTACCGCAGCAAGAACACTGTAGCAATTTTTTCCTTTCCTGCAGGGAAATCAAGTGCTTACTGAATCTCCAGTATTGAAACAAATCAAAAACACTTAAAAGCAAGAAAACCACCTCCTCAGTAGTACAAATTTCACATATTTGAAACTCATCATCAGAGTCAGTAGATTCAACACCAGAGTCAGCTGCACCAAACCAGAGGAATCTTTATAAAAATGCACACAAGCAACACAGCAAATTAAAATGTCTTCAGGAATCATCAAATGTCAAACATTTAACTTTTTAAAAATGGATATCATGAGAATAAAAAAGATTATATTAATAACAACGATGCCTTTAACACACCATAGCCAATGAAGTGAGTCAAATGAATAAAAACATAACAAATAAATAAAATAATAATGTGTCAATGACGCTGATTCAACATCGAACAAGAGAAAAACAAAATAAAATATGGTTAATACAGTGGTCAGTGCACTTCTAGGCAGAAACAACTCGTATCATGCAAACATTGTCTGCAAATAATTTGTCACAGAACTAATGTTTAATGCAATCAAAGTTTCAAGGAGTAATTGGAAAATAGGAACTGGTATATGATTAAACTATTCTTGCAATTATTCAGTTTCTGAAATATATTCTACAAGTTTAGTTTGCGTTGGTTGAGCAAATTTCAGAGTCCAAGGCCTTCTGGTTTAAGAAAGTGTTCTCTGCTTTCAATAATAATAATAATAATAATAATACTAATGTCAAAAGTGACACCTTATTTTCACTTACGGAGGCACAAGAGAAACAAGGACAAGTGGATTTCATCAAAAAATTTGTTTCTAAGAGACTCACTATCAGATTCTTCATCACTTTCAGCATCACTAGGAGGTTGCCACTTGGCTACTTTTCTGACTCTGCCTTTTACTGAAACACCAGGAGTTGCAGAGTGCCTCTTCCTTTGGAGTTCTTTCACCCCATCTTCTCCTATTACAGAAGAACGATTAAATTCACAATATATAAATAAATGAGAATCATCTAGAAAAACAAGTCTAAAACCTGGGAGAAGTTCAGGTTTTTCTGGCAAAGGGTAATTTTCTTCCACAAATTTAAGCAGCAATTCTCGAGGTCCAGAAACAAAGTCATCAAGCTCAGAACCCTGACCAAAATAATAAACCGTGTGAGAAACTGAAATGCAATGAACAGGGTATTCAAATACACACATATTTTGTCACAGCTTCCTCTGTCCTTGCTTCTCCAGTGCTCTGAAGACCAATGACTACACATTTTTCTTGAGCTAACGCTTCCTTTGCTAATCTCAGAGCAGCAGGGACTTTAGCAGACATACATAGGTGCCTAAAGAAACGCTACAGCATTACAAGGAAAACGAACAGACAAAATAGTCAATGAGTATTAGTTAACAAACATCAGAATCCAAATACAGATTTAATCTGCCACATAAACTTCAATACCTGATGGCTTGCCCAGTATAAGCGCCATAGCTGACTAGAATTAGGTTTATCATTTAGGAAGGCACTGGCTGACAGCAATTCTACTCGTAATTCAGCCCAAAATTCAGCTGCCTTTTTATATATTTCCTAATGTTATTGTGCAAATAAGATTATAAGACAAAAATATGGAAGTCACGGGATAAATTAATGCATTGAGAGATAATATAGATAACTGTACATGTTATAATTATATGAAAAGAAAGTTGAACAATCTACAGCCAGGAAACATCTCTAGTTTCTTACAACTTCAATTCGTTTCTATTATCATACTTAAGAAAAGAAAAAGAAATTACAACGCACCAAAGAGAAAGATAAAGTACATTCCTGATTTAACATGCTTGAACAAAAATCATATCTGAAAATACACATGCATACCCGACTGTATAATGTCAGCATTTATTGATACAAATAAATATGTTTGACTTTGACAAGCACAAACCAAATGACACCCAGACCAATTGTAAGAAAAAGAAAGACCAATTATTTTAAACAATGTCACATAACTAACAAACAACCTTCTGAAACTGATTGATGGAATTCCCTTTCTTTTCTCTTATGCTTTACTGATTATTATTTTCAGATGCCAGTCAGTATTTTACCAGATAGTTTCCATTGTTTCTTCAGCAAAGAAATTACAAGTTCCGCAAATAATGGCAAATAAATTTCTTGTACCATCATTTTCTCTTCTAAAGGTGCTTCAATTACTTCAAACTCTGCACCTTCATAGCTGAGCGTCCGACATAAATACATACCCCTACAACAAGATAAATGAAGAAAAACAATTTATCTTTCTTAAGCATATACTTTCAGTAAGGTAGGTTGGTGACCACATGAAATTATTATAACCTTGCTTTCATGTCCATGGCAACTAATTCAAGAGCTCCAACACCCCCTCTGTCCAAAGCACCTGGATATATAATTTCAAATTCTTAACATCACAGACCTAGGATATGGGAACATCAAGGACAAGAAACGCAACTAGAAAGCAGAGATATAACAAATTCTTTTAACATCCTATACTATGTACTTCTAGGAAGATTAAATCAAAGAATCATAAAATATTAGTTACTGTTAAACATATTAAATTATTAGATATCTTAAATAGATATATTTATCTTTTATCTTCAGTTACTTGGTTATTATTTTTTTTTATTTTGAACTTAGTTCATATTTTCTTTATTATAAATACAATACCCTATGTGTATTTTTTTCAAAAGGGAAATTAAACTCATGCCTAGTTTTTTACTATATTCAATATGATATCTAAAGCCTATGGTTCTTTTGAAAACGTTTCGTCGGCCCTGGCCACTACAATTGTCGTCACCATCGACACAACTTCAGTTTCGACCAACAATGCCATGATTGTACTTGTCCCAGCCTAACAACTTTAACATCGTCGAAGTTCACAGTCATCGTCTTTTCCAGCCATGCATTGAGGTGTGTGCGTTGTCTTCTCTTGCTCCAATCACCATCGTTGAACTTGTCGCAACCTTTGCTCTCAGGATCTGGCCATGTTGCCTTGATTGTAGAACCTTGGAATTTTAGGATTTGTCTCTCTCATGTTCATCTATGGCTTCTTTCGCTACTGTCTCTTCTAATCTCTCTTCTGCCACTAGTGCATCTGATATATATATTATGTCAATGTGCACTTGTCTACTATAAGTTAGATAGCTCTAATTATGCAACTTGGGCATTAGACATTAAACTTTGGCTTAAGAGTTAAGGGATGTTGATCATATTACTCAAAAAAGTGTGAGGATCAACAACCTTCTAGGATCAACAACCTTCTTCTCTTAGTCCTTGGATTCTCGACTCAAGAGTCACAATCACATTATTGTAACAAATATTTGTTTTCCTCTTCATCCTCCTTGGATAATTTACCTTCTCTTACAATGCCTAATGGATCTAGGGTTTTAGCTCATGGTATTGAGATCCTTAACCTTTTTCGTTCCTTATCCATTGATAATGTCTTTTATGTCCATGGATCTCCTTTTAACTTATTATCCATCTAACCATCTTGATTGTATTATTTCTTTTACCAAACATTTTGTTTGTTTACAAGAACGGAGTTCGAGATAGAAGATTGGCACCAAATGTGAGTCTCATGGTTTTTATCATCTCCACCCTTCTACACATGGAGGCACAATTATAGAGTCTTCATCTATTTTTCATGCTCAGTTAGGTTATCTCAGTCTTACCAAATTGCAGCAGCACATTCCCAGCTTATCCAAGTTATCCAGTTTGGTGAGTCATGTCAATTAGGTAAGCATAATTATAGTTCCATTCCTTGCAGTGTCTACCAACATGTTTCGTCCCCTTTTGTCTTAGTTTACTCTAATATTTGGGAACCTAGTCGAGTTAAGTCTACTTTACGTTTTCAATATTTTGTTACTTCTATTAATGATTATTCTAGATGTACCTACTTGTTTTTAATGAAAAAAAGTTATTTTATATACTTCAATCTTTTTTCAATGAAATTAAAACTAAGTTTAGAGTGTCTATTCGAACTTTGCAAAGTGATAATGGTCACAAATATCTTTCCATTCTTTTAAACAAATTATGGCTTCTCATAACATTTTTCATCCAACTTCATGTGCTTATACACCTCAACAAAATAGGATGCCTAAGTAGAAAAGTAGACATCAATGGTTTCTCAATATTTTTGGGGTGATGTTATGGTTACTACATGTTTTCTCATTATTCATGTTGAATATAATGAAAATTATGTATGGGATTAATCTCCCTTGTGTTGAATATACACATAGGGTACTATATTTATATAGAAGAAATATGGGCTAAACCCAAAATACAAATAAAGAATAACAAAATAACTAAATATAAAAGACAAACATAAAATATAAATAATATATCTAACAATTGCATGCCCTCTTCAGTTCTAAATAATAAAATACATCATTTTACATTATTTTCTCAGGAACCTCTTCATCGCTTACCTCTAAAAGTTTTTTTGTCTACATGTTTTGTTCATAATTTTAGTCTTGGTCTAGATAAGTTATGTCCTAAATCACATTCATGTGTTTTTTTAGGATTTACTAGAACACAAAAAGGATACAAGTGTTTTTCTCCTTCTCTTAACTGCTATGTTGTTTATCCAGATGTCACCTTTAATGAGTCTCCTTTTTACTTTAGACGTCATTCTTCTTCTGATATGTCTTCATCTAATGCAATCAATATTCCTAGTACAATCAATATTTTTGTTATTTGTGGTCCTCCATATGTGCCTTGTCCACCACCACCACAACCATCGGATACTTCTTCACTACCACTTCAGGTTTATAGTCATAAACATCATTCTCAACAACCACCAATTCCAATGCCAACTACTTTTTCATCTCTGACTCTGACAACTAAGTCTAATCTTCCAATTATCGTTTGAAAAGGTATTTGTTATACCTGTAATCCCTCTCCACATTATATTGCTTCGAGTTATCATAAGTTATCTTCACCTTTTCATACCTACCTATTTGTCAGTGATGTCTTAGTTCATCCTAGTTGGCGTCAAGCCATGCTAGATGAACTAAGTACTCTTCAAAATAGTGGAACTTGAGAGTCTGTCCCATTATCGTCCAGGAAATATATTATTGGTTACAAGTGGGTTCTTGCTATCAAAGTTGGTCTTAATGGTACTATTGATCACCTCAAAACTCGTCTTGTACCCCAAGGTCACAAATTTTTGGGTTAGATTATGGTGAGATCTTTTCTCTAGTGGCAAAGATGGTTTTTCTTCGTTTATTTATAATCATGACTGCTCTTCAACAATGTCCTCTTTATCACTTATGTCAAAAATGTGTTCCTCAATGGAGATTTGCAAGAAGAGATTTATATGAGGCAACCTACAAGATTTGTTGTTCAAAGAGGGTCTTCTGGTTGGTATGTCGTCTTCACAAATCCTTATATGGCCTAAATCAAGGCCTAGTTTGGAAAATTTAGCAACATTGTTCAACGTCAGATGCTGATTAGGCAGGATCTCCTTCTGATAGAAGGTCTGCATTTGAATATTGTGTCTCCATTAGTGGTAACTTGATCTCTTGGAGAAGCAAGAAAAAAAGTGGTGTCAAGATCTAGTGCAAAAGCATAATATAGAGCTATGGCCCCAACCACTTTTGAGCTTGTTTGGCTTAAACAATTGCTTAAGAAGTTACAATTTGGAGATGTTACTCAAATGACACTTATATGTGATAATCCGGCTACCATTCATATTAGTTCTAATCCTATCTTTCATGAAAGGACCAAACACATTGAAATTGACTGTATATTCATTCGAGAGAAGATTGTACCCAATGATATTTTCACTACGTTTTTACAGGAACCAATAATTAATTATATTTGTAACAAGCTTGATAAATAAGATTTGTATGCACCAATTTGAGGGGAAGTATTAGGTATATTAGATATCTTAGAAAGATATCTTATTTTTATATTTTACTTGAAGAGTTGAGAGAAGATGAAAAGTCTTATTTTTTACTAAGAAAAGTCTTATTTTTTACTAAGAAAACCTGATACAACTTACTACTGTATTTATAGGAGACAGTAGTTCTGAAAAGTAAAAGGGCGGGAAGCCCCTAAAAACACCCTAACAGAAATATTAATAATAATAAAGACATTATACTTCAACACTCCCCCTCAAGCTGGAGCACATAGATCATATGCACCAAGCTTGGAACATATAAATTGAATTCTACGCTCCCTTAGAGATTTGGTCAGAATGTTTGCGAGTTGTTCATTAGAGTTGACAAACTTAGTAACAAGATCCTTTGCAATAACTTCTCTCTAAAAAAATGACAATCAATCTTTGTGTTTTGTTCTTTCATGAAACACTGGATTGGAGGCAATGTGAAGGGCGGCTTGATTGTCATAGTACAACTTCATCTGCTCATTTTCACAAAATTTCAACTCTTCAAGGAGTTGTCTAATCCACACAAGTTCACATGTAGTTAGAGCCATAGATCAATACTCAACTTCAGCACTAGATCGAGCAACAACACTTTGTTTCTTACTTTTTCAAGATACAAGGTTCCTCCAAGTAGAACAGAGTATCTGTGGTAGATCTTCTGTCAATTGGACAACCAGCCCAATTTGCATCACAATATTCCTCAACTCGAGTGCTTCCCTTGTCCTCATACAACAATCCTTGTCCTGGTTTCCCTTTTACATATCTGAGAATGAGAATCACAGCATTCCAATGATCAACATGTGTATTTTGCATAAATTGACTAACAACTCCCACTGGATAAGAAAGATCAAGTCTTGTTATGGTAAGATAGATAAGTTTTCCAACAAGCCTTCTATATCTCTCTGGGTCTTAGAAAAGTTCACCTTCGTCTTTCATTAACTATTGATTTGAGTCCATAGGACTATCAATGGGCTTGCAATTTGTCAAGCCTGTTTCCTCTAAAATATCAAGAGCATATTTTCTTTGTGAAATGATGACACGTTCCTTTGACTGTGCCACTTCAATACCAAGGAAATATTTTAGCTGACCCAGATCTTTGGTCTGAAAGTGGTTGAACAAATGATTATTTAATTGAGCAATTCTAGTGACGTCATTTCCTGTAATGACAATATCATCAACATATACCATAAGATAAACACATTTATCAGGAGAAGAGTGACTATAAAATACTGAATGATTCGTCTCACATCGTTTCAATCCAAAATTCTGCACAACCCAACTAAATTTACCAAACCAAACTCGAGGTGATCGCTTCAAGCCACAGAGGGAACGATGTAATGATAAGGGGTAGCAGATAAAGTGGAATTAGTTTTAGTAGAAGAGGCCATTTTAGAACTGTGAGAAGAAATGGAACTTAGGGTTTCAAAAACGTGAGGGAGGAAACCCTAGGTATGAGCCCAAGCCAACGAAACAGAGAAATAAGAACCAAAACACACTCAACAAGCCCCGGCAAGACGATCTACAGTAACACGGTGTAACTACGATAGCGGGAAGGTGGCGCGTGTGGAACACGCGACTGAGACTTGCCGGAAAGAAGCGGCGCATGCTCGTGTGGAGGCTTCAGAGGACGGGACCACTAGGGTTGAGTTGTGCTTCTCAAGGCGCACCTAACCCTTGACTTCGCTGGAGAAAGCGACGTTTGGCAGCGGCGGTGACGGCAACAGCGAACAACGGCAGCGGCGAGGGACAGCGGAGCGAATGGCAGAAATGACAGAGGCGATGCCGCCGACGATAGACGAGGAAGAAACAAAGGTTTGGCTCTTGATACCAACTTGAAGAGTTGAGAGAAGATGAAAAGCCTTATTTTTTACTAAGAAAACCTGATACAACTTACTATTGTATTTATAGGAGACAGTAGTTCTGAAAAGTAAAAGGGCAGGAAGCCCCTATTAAAACCCTAACATAAATATTAATAATAATAAAGACATTATACTTCAACAATTTTATTTTCGATTACTTTATTATTTTTTATTTATATTTTGGGTTTAGCAGATATATCTTTTATAAAATATAATATCCTATGTGTATTTTCTACACAAGGGAGATTAATCATATACATAGTTTTTCACTATATTCAATACCATCGTAAATGCTTACCAATCATGAAATATTATTCATGAATTATTGTAAAGTAACAATATAAGTGAAAAAAAATGGCCACAAACAAACAGAAGAATGTATATCATAATAAAGACTTCATCAACTAGACAAATATAATATACCTCCAAAAAGTGCAGCAGCAAGTATTTGAAAGGGAAAAAAAGGTTCATGAGTGGATTTATCAAAAACATTATTTGAGTAAAAGAAATAGAACAGCATATTCAAAAGAAAAAAAAAATGAACATTAATAGTTAAATTGTATTTAAAAAATTAGGAAAAGAATAGACGAGAAACTACCTAGAAATTCACGAAAATCTAAGAAGGATGTCCCATCTCCCCAAAGACCAAGTCGAACCATATAACCCAGATTGCGAGGTTCAGAAGCTCCAGTTGCTGAGCAATAAACAACACGAGCTTCAGGGAGTCGCTCCTGGGAAATTAAACTGCAATAACTCAGATACCACATCCTGTGCCCACTATTTCAATGATACATTAATGCAGATAAAATAGGAGAGATCGACGTCAGAGGGGGTAAATGGTATATGCAGACATGCCCTCTTAGAAAAAGCACTTTAAACATAATTCAACCTCATAAAATTGAATTACAAAGTAGGAGAGATTCCAGTCAATATGGAATCTCCAACAAATCAAAACCATTATTACAAGGACATTTGCCATGCTTCATAGATGGTACAAATCAGATACACACAGTATGATGGGACTTTCCGCCACATAAGGTACCAAGGAGTAGACTAAGCTCATAAATTAGGATCAGAATTCTCTAGAATTGTGTCACTACTCATAAATTTCATTATATACTATTATATCAGCACCCGGACCTGGAAAACAACCGTTCACTTAAACCTTCATACTTGTCCAAAAGCCAGAACTGAAGTTTGCATGACCAATTTCAAATTATTGGCTCACCCCATTAAAAAACAAAAAGTCATATTTGCCATGGAAAGAGAAAAAAAAAGACTCAATGCATTTTGGATAGTAGGCCTTAAGGTGTTATTTTGTATCAATTCAATACCTCCTTCCATCTTTGTTCTTCTTGCAGTAGTGGCATTGCACCACTTATTTCTGACAAAAATTCAAATACAGCACAACACAAGCTTCAAAACTTTGCGAATGTTAGGATATTTATCCTATTTTATCATCATTATAGTGTGTCAAGGGTTACCCTATTTATCATGATTATATTGTGTCTAGGATTACCCTA